ACTTATTATCCTCTGAGAAGATTGACAAGTCTAAATGTACAGTTGCTTTCCATACTCTTATTTTAATTTAAGTGGTTAAACTGAAAATATATGGAAAGTCCATCATTTTTTTACCTAGAATGTATAAAAAAAAACAATTCTTTGAAAGTGAGAATGTTTACTTGTTTACCACGATGCTGTAATGAAATTTGTTTTGCTTTAGAGTAAAATAACTATCTGACCATGTAAAAAAGTGATTTCATAGTTTTTGACAACAGGTTACAGATGCTTACAGTAGATCACAGATTATACCATTTCTGACATTGTAAAGGTTAGATACAATTTATAAGTTGTTTAGATTGCACTTTATACATTATACATAATACCCTTTGACTTTTTTCTGATCTCATCCATTAGGGAAGGAGCGCCTATAGGAACATGATATGATGGCAACTTACACTCATATTGCTTATGGATTAGTGATCTTGTTGATCATGTGATCACTAATCTCCTTCTGAACAAACCAAATTCAACACTGCTCTTTTTTAAATATTCTCCCATACATGAAACAGTGAGTTTATATAAATAAATGAATAAGCAGCAACCTAAATTAATATTTGTAATTCCTAAAATGGCCTCCAATGTCCTTAATAATGCACAATTGCCTATTGGTCAAATCTGTCTTCTAAATGCAGTGTAGTGAATAAATATGAGGATCTGTCCTTCTTCAATTATTTTTGATTAGCAAAGGGCGCCAGAAGTAGAACTATTGAAGCATAATACCGTATACACCATCATGCACGGCTAACACTGTTTCATCTCTTTTTTTTCACGATGCAGCAATAAGGTAAAAAAAACAGACAGTTCTATTATTGTTGAAGGATTACATCATTGGTTGCATTAAATTTAAGCTGGGCAAAATCCCGTTATTGGCCGGTATTACTTTATTGGCTGTTATAACAGTATTGTTTGCCTCTGACCCCTGAGGGTTTGAGACCATTGAGTTTTGAGGCAATTCAGTGATTGCCAGTAAGTGGGCCTCTAGACACAGGAATAAACCCGACATGGGAAACCAGCCGTATTCTATCCTTAAGTTTTGCATAGTTTCTATGAAGGTAACAAAGAATACTGGGTACAAATTAGACCATCAACATATTCCTTAATGGTCCCTTTTTTTAACCAGTTTGACTCATTGCACCGGAAAAACGATCTATAAATAAGTCAAATTTCTTATATTTAGTGTATTTACCCTTAAATTGAGTAGGTAAATGAGTTTGCCAATGGAATTAATATTACTCTTAAAATAAGATAATTAGATAAAATGCACTTGAAATAAGACGATGCAATTGTGTTTTCCTAATTTAAGTGTAATGTTCTTTCCCCATTGGCAAGATGCCTATTTTACCCCTTCAACCCAAGAACAAATGCACTCATCTTAAAAAAAATAACGACTTATCTAGATCTAGATTTTTTCCAGTGTGTAAGATAATCCAGGGCATATTTCCGCCAATTAAAGCAATTCTTTGTTTATTGTGCCATTAAATATTTTATATATGAACCATGAGTTGGGTGCTAACAGGACAAGGAAACAACCACACTAACAAATTTTTATCTCCGCCAAGGACCTTTGTTTTCATTGGCATTGGTTCGTCTGTCTGTCTGTTTTTGAAATACCAAAAAAAGTTATGGACAGATTTTACTGACATTTTCAGAAAAGGTGCATACTGTGACTCACAAAACCAATTATTTCATTTTGGTGATGATTTGTTTCAGGAATAGTTTGAAAGATTCTGTGAATACAGGTATTAACTTAGAGTGGAGGTCACAATATGTTAGGGGTTATGAGCTACTTGGTGGAGGTCTGCACTCCAATAATGATTTTTCTTAGTTGTTAATTTGATCCTTTGAAAAAAAATTTATTTCATTAGGATAAAACACTATATTAAACAATTATAACAGTCTAAGATTTTATTGTCCCTCTCTCTTTGTATTAGCATGGATGTTTCTGTGCTTTCAGAGTTCACGTTTGTGTGAAAACAATCCCCACAGACTTTAAATCAGCTGATTCCCAACAATAAATCAGCTGACATATCTACCTATATCTACATCTAGCGACTTAGTGTCCAAAACCTTTAAGAATATATATTTAAATTCCCTCATTATTAAAGATTAAGTATATCTCTGCAATAGGATAAGATACAGATATTTACCACATGGAAACTTAAAAAACGTCACACTAGCCCTCTGAGATCCCTGTGAAATCCTACATAACTTCACTCTTATCAATACAGTAAAAAAGTAAAAAAAAAACAAAAAAACAAATTGCGTTGAAAAGATTCAAAGTTTGTGACTCTTTTTCAATATTTAAATGCTTTTAGGTATTATTCTTAAAATCACAGTACATGTTTCACATCTGTATTGGTACATGTGCTAAATATGTTTGTTAACAACATTATTCACATAAGAATAGCTCCTCTGTACATTACTCTATGTAAGAGCAAAACAGACAGATGCATTAGTACAAGAGAAAAACAACAACAATCAAGCAGCGAGACAGTCTATAAAAACAAACTATCAAAAAAAAAAAAAAACTACGTTTTTAACCATAAAATCTAATGTTACTGCCCCTTTGATAGATTTGGACATTGTAAGAAAATACACTTTTTTTTTTTTATAATGCTTTTTTTTTGTATAATGTCAATCAAATACTGATGTGAAGTGATTATCACGCGTTAACTACCTAATGGACCTGTTATACAAATGGTGAGTTTTTTTCAAGGAATGTCTAAAATCATTTTTGACTTCAGAAACTGCAAAAACCCATTGGGAAAGTTTACATCTAAATTAATTGGAATATTGTTTTTTATTTTTGTTGATTGTTACTGAGGGATACTCTTTTCATGGATGATCTCAAGGAGGCATAGCAGCACCAGAAAAGAAAGAAATTTCAAAATTCAGTTGTAACAAAAAGAAAGAACACTTAAAAAATAAATAAATAGTGAAAAATTAAAGGTCAGATCTTCAGAGGATGGTGATGGTTCAGTTCCTTAAGTTGAAGTGATTAGTTAAGGTTGAAAACACCATCTGGCTTTGACTGTTGGCTTTCAATTTAAAGTCTCATCACATTCACTAGAACAGGGGTCGGCAACCTGCACCTGTAGAGCCGCATTCGGCTCTTTAATGCCTCCCTTGTGGCTCCGTGAAGGTTTTTGAAAAATTGTAAGCCCACGTAGTCTTTTTTTACAGTGGCTAATACACTTAGAGACTGTGTTGTCATATGAGGCTGTTGTATAACTTCCATTTTTTGCAGCTCCAGACAGATTTGTTTTTATTTTTTTTGGTTCACTAAGGCTCTTTGAACAGTTTGGGTTGCTGACCCCTGGTCTAGAAGGAACCAGTGAATACTGTATTTGTCACCAGAGGCATTCTCCAACATAACAAATTCCAAGTTTCTCCTCTATTAATTTCATAAGTCAGTATTTTTGCAGAAATTAATGTACACTGAAATCAACTTTTCACAAAGTACTGTTGAGCCAAGGCTGAGATGTTTTTATGCTGTCCTTCTGCTACCTAAGATTGGCAGAGGACAACCTGCTACTGTGCTCAGGGTTCAGCATTGCACTGGCTGGAGGGTTCAGGGTTTGTTTTTTTGTCAGCAGTAAAGTGGTAGCACTAGCCATCATACTTAGAAGAACTGGAGCAGCAAGGAAAAAGAGGCTGTGGCTGCATCATGTAACCCTGGAAAAATGATCTAGAAATAAGTAAAAATGTCTTAAATTAAGTGT